ACTCATTTGTTGTATGGAGCTTAACAGCTAGTTGACACTTAAGTGCAGCTCTGTAGAGTGAACTCCCAGGGACTACAGTGACTCTTTCAGCAGCAGCCCAGCTCCTCTCCCATGGCAGAGGCTCCCTCCTCCAAGGCACACCTTCTGCCACCCCTGTGCAAAGCTGAGCTGTAGCACTGTGCTGCACTGAAAGCTGTGCTCCATCCAGAAACTCACTGGTCCTGTACCTCCCACACGGATGCTCAGCACAGGGTAGGTCCAGGCTGCGTGTTTTGTTTCTGGCAAAACAGTGCTGGGAATCTACCTGCACAATCTAAACATTCCAGGGGCAAATACACTTCAAAAGAAAACTCTCATTTCCAAACCTGAAAGAATCCCAAGCCTTTATGTGATGCACAAGGTGAATTCTGCACTGGTCTTACTTTGGGGAAGCATTTGGAAAAGGCTGGGGGAAATAACTCATGGATGAACCTTAGGGAAAGTGGAGTAAAGCCTCCTGGGTTTTCTTTCCTCTATGATTCCCATGGTGTTTTCCAGCATTAGACTTGCTGCTGCTTTGCTTCTAGTTACAACAACTGATCCCAGTTTTTATAACCCTTAGCATGGAGCAGAGCAGCTCCTGGATGCCTTTCCTAGCTTCAGCAGCCAACAGGGATTACAGACTTTAGGCACACATTGTAATTACTTTTTGCTTCTTGCACCTTTAACCTGGTGGAGCTCAGCATGAATCACCAGGAGGTGACAAGGAAGGAAAAAGCAAGAAAAAACAGGCTTGAGCACATTCAGCTGATCACCCTGTGGAGGACCCAGCCTCACTCTCCACACTGCCAGGAGAAGAAGAAAAATCCACATTTCCCACAACAGATATGAAATTAAGGAGAGGCACTGGTGATCCTCAGGACTGTCCTCCCTGGCTTAACTTCTGCTTGGAATTAAAACACCTCACAGGAATTAAAACTCCTCACTGACCCCAAACACACTTTCTTTTCATTCTACAGTTCTCAACATTTTGAGCTATCGATATGTTTGGTTCCTTTGACAGCTTCATGCTGAAAGAAACATACCATTTCTTTAAAAGAACACACAAAATTTCAGACTGAAGAAATGCTTTGATCCCACACCAGCAGGCAAGAGCTGTATTTCACTGAACTGACAGTAACAGTGCCCTGGCATTTCTGCTTTATGGCACAACAGGCAGCAGTGAAAACCCAAGGCTAGCAGGAGGCTCAAAGGAGCAGCACGTACCCACAGACAGTGCCTTCAACACCCACTTCAAGGCAGGGGCCACAGCTGGGCACCACAACTGCATCCCTGTGATGCACAACAGCCTGTCAGTGCAACATCACAGCAGATGCTCTGCTGTCACATCCCTCTCATCCTCAGCAGCCCCAAAGCAGAGATTTGCATCCCATTTTCTTGCCTTTGGGTTCCCAACACGCAACATCCACAAGCCCCTTCCACCATTGCTAGCAGGCTGCACTAAGGAAACCCAAGACTGAGCAGCATGCTTACAGTATTTTCACAAAAAGCTGTTGCATACTTTTCAAAGATAAAGACCCTTCCATAAAAATCAACACATTCTCAAAAGGGAGCTTAATTCTTCTGTGCTTTTGACACTTGAGTAGTGCTGCATGAATAAAGCTTGTGCAAAGGGTGCAGCTGCCAGAACGGTTGCAAGTACACACTGAAATCAGTGCTAACCATACAGCTGATATTTCTTTAGAAGTATCTATACGCTGATTTAATTAAATATGGAACAACTGCAGGAAACTGCTTATGACTAATGAAAGCTCCAGGTGTAGCTGGTCAGGGGATCTAGCACAGTAAGTGTTTTCAGTTGCAAAATTGCTCAATTCAAAATTGTTTCTTCCTGCCAAGTTGGCAATTCCCATTCAATTACATGCAGGTACAGTGGCAAACCTTTTACTACAGCACAATGTTATTTTATCTACCAAATGATAGTGCTTATTGCACGTATCTGACAGCACTTAATAAAAATCTAAATATATGTTAAACACCTGGTTCAAAGGATTATGTTTCTTTTCCTGCAGACACAGATTACCAAATCCTCACATTACTTATGTCTAACTCAATAAAGTAAAATAGGGACCCCCATTTCAGTCTTTTACACAGGACTGAGACAAATTAAAAACAAGATAAATAAAGGCACTGTAGCCTCATATGGCAACTTTCAGACATAGGTCTGAAAAGCACTGTCTTCTGCCAAGTGTCCAAAATCTGGTTTGCATAACTATTTAATATAAGGGCTCACATAAGGGTAGTTAGCAGGGCAAGTGAAAAAAGTACAAAAACCACAATCAAGTACTACATCACAGACGAACATTTAGCAGCCTTTCAAAAGTATGCTCCTCAAAATGCATTAAAACTCACCATTCCACTCACAGACCAAAGACACATTGAAATCAATACTATTTTTGGTTAAAATGCAAGACTGAGAAATCTTTGAAAAGTCCTTGGAGGGCCCCTCAGATGTGCTTAACCCAAGACATGTGGATATAATGGAACCACTGTACTCACACCAGTCAGCTTCTCCAACTGTTGCAAAACAATTTCACATACACAAACTATGGAAAACATGGATTGAGAAGGATACTAACTTTGCTTGGATATTAAATTTCATTTTATGTGCAAACAAAGCAACAGGGGAAAAAAATCTTCCTTTATATAGATGATACACAATTCCATTTCTCAGAGATTTTCCTCGTGAACCGAGTCAGAAATCAAGACTGGTAACATAGGCGAGACTGGTAACTTTACCTACCAATTTAACACAGCTGCCAAGTTTTTAAGGCAGAAGACTACACAAAGACAATTTCCCTGTCACTTTTCCGCCAAGCACACATTGCAGTCAATAGGTGGATACTTGAGTGTGAGGTTTTGTATTCCGACCAAAGCAATTTTAAGGATGGTGGCCCCTTCCCAGTGTGCAGGCTAAGCAAAACCACAAGTGCCATAAAGTCATCTTGAAGAAGCCTTGCCAAATCACCTTCAGACAAAGTGTTGTTAAGTACCCTGCCGCTCGCTTTGAGCATTGTTGCTCTTTATTTTTTTTAATATCAAAGTCAGACGTTGTGGCACAGCCCAGTGCGATCCATACCAGTCATTTAGATAATGAGGAGAAAATAGGTGCACTCAGCATGTGTTTTAAAACATGTTTTCCATTCAGAACCCCAGTGCTCCATCTTTAGGTCTTTGATCAAAACTGTATGCAAAAGGCGTGATTCATAACTGCCAGCATCAAAACACTCAAATTCAGTGTCTGCGTGTGGCCAGCACGGAAACAACGCGCTCTCCACCCGAACCTGGCACTCGTTCCAGCACATCCAGGGCAAGCTGGACACTGTGCCAGGACATTTGTAGGACAACTGCTTAGAGTACATGATCCAACATAGCCCTGAGCCCACAGAAGAGGATGATTTCCTAGAAAGTCTGGGGAGCTGGGCAGCGGGGCTGAAGCTCCAGGTGCAGCCTGCCCTCTCCCGGCCCCCTGCCTGCCCAGGTAACAGCGTCTGCCAACCTTGGTAACCCACAGTGGAGAGATCAGGAAGGAAAAAGCTGAAGACTGAGAGATGAAAGCATAAAATACTTGATTGACAGGAAAAGAGGAAGAGGGTAAGGTGATGGAGGAAAATAGTGGAGCCTAAATAGCTACATTTATGAGCACAGCAAATACCAAGATAAGATTATCTGTAGAAACAAAAACTGAATTCAGTAAACTAGAATTTTAACTTTCACATCTAGAAAGCAGAGCAGGATCTGCACTCAGTGGATGGGTACATACTACAAATTGTCCCAAACGTTAGTGATGGAGTACTCGTGTGCTGGGAGCTCAGCTCTTTGCAGCCTTTCGAGGCCAAACCACTCAGTTGCAATTTACAAGGGTAAGTCACCTCTGAGCCTCGCGTTCTTGCTTTTTCTCTCAAGGATGTAAACAAAAATACAGAAACTGACAAAACTAAGCATGCACTTCCAGACGCATCACATACTTAATGTAAGCCTACTGCTGAAAGAATAAAATGAAAACCAAAGGAAGCTTCTCCTGAGCTGGAGAATACCAGTATTGGTGGTACGTATCTGAGGTTTGCAAGAACACTGTTAATTTGCTTTTTCACATGCCTAATAGAAAATTTAAAAATAGAAAATTCAAAAATAGAAAACCCAACTGGCAATAGAGCCGGATTTGCAACCCCTTCTGGTTTCAGGCCTGAGTCATTTGAATGAAAACCGAAGAGTTTGCAAAAGAATGGGCTAAAAGACAAGGTCTTCATCCCGCGTGGGCACAGTTTCAGTGTCCCCGAGTTGTCAGCGGTTAATAAAATGATTGCATTACATTTCACTGCCCGTCACCTCCTGGGCCTGTCAGAGCTGTGCAATAACGAACAGCGCCCGTGCGCTTTTCCGAGTGGAAAAAGCAAAGTAGCACTAAAACAAACCCCTAGGACGGTGTGGGGCAGGCGGCTCTCCCGCGAAGTTCAGGGATGCCAGGATGCCCGCGGCAGGCAGCGCGGGGAATGGGACGAGAGATCCCTCTCTCGGGGAAGGGAGAGCATCCCAGGGATGCATTTTCTGCCTCTGCACCGCGGCCCCCCGGGCGCTGCCGCCGGACCGGGGCAGGACCGGCCCCGCACCGCGGCACCTGCGGGAGGCGCCCACGCGGGGTGCGGGCACCGAGCCCCGGGGCGACTTGCCCAACTTCCCCGCGCCGCAGTCCCGGCACGGGCGCCGCCAGACGCCGTGAGACACCGCCGCTGCCGCTCCCCGCCTACCATCGCCTTGCCGTGCGGGGCGGCGGGTCCGCGCCGCTGCGGCTGCCCAAGCTGCTCTCCGCCGCGGTCTCGCTTCTCGCGGCCGCCGCGCTGCTCCTCGCCGGCGTCGAGGGAGGAGAAATTCCAGACGAGGAGGGTCTGCAGGAGCAGCACGGTGAGCGCCGCCACCAGCGCCGAGCGGGAGCGCCGCGCCAGCCGCCGGGCGCACGGAGCCGCCACCATCTTCGCTGCTGCTGCCGCCGCCGCGCTCCCGAGAGCCGCCGCATCCGCCGCGGCACCGAGTTTTCAGCCGGGCAGAGCCAGACGTCAGCAGGAGGAGGGCGGAGGTGGGGAAGGAGGGAGGGGGGGAAGGAGGAGGAGGTGTTCGCGGCGCGTGGGGATGGGGGAAGCCGGCGGGGAGCCCTGGCGGCGCGGCAGCCCGCGGCCGGGCCAGCCCGGGGCCAGGGGTGGGGTTGGCGGAGGAAGAGGAAGGAGGAGGAGGAGGAGGGTGGGTTGAGGCGGAGGAGGCCGGCGGCGGGCGGGCGGTGACTGCCATCTTCTGAGGGAGCGCGGCCTCACGCCGCGCCGGGCCGGGCCGGGCCGCGGCACCTGGCGGGCGGCAGCCCCCGCCTGCGGACCCCTCACCGGCAAAATGGCCCAAGTGCCCCCAGCCTGAGGTGATGTTTTGGGGTTTTTTTTTCTTTTTTAATTTTTTTTTCCCCCTGAAGCACAAAGGGTCCCTGGCATCATTTCGCCTCAGCGGACTGAGAGCGAGAGCAAGGTGCGACACCTCCACAGCCCGGTGAGGCTTGCAGGGATCAGGCACAAGGCGACTGTGACTGAACGCCCAGTGCCTCAAAAAGTGAACATAACGGACGAGTTCAGTTGCCTTTTTCTCCCATACTGATATTGGCTTTCTAATCTGAGAGATCTCATTATCTGATGATAGGACCGGAGTAGGGAGGTTTTTTTTAATCTGCCTGCACAGTACTTCTTTTTCTAAGCCTAATTCCACTTTACAAACCAAATCCAAAGGTAAAAAAATCTACTTTACAAACCAAATCCAAAGGTAAAAACTGTTCTCCTGGTAAGAACAGTTGCTTTTTAAAATGATAGCCAGGTAGGATTTGCACAGACCAGTGGGATTTTGTTTCCATTGGAAGTGCTTTAGTTTCTGATCTGAACAAAATGAAACAAGTAATAAGATTCAGGAGCATCCTTTATTAAGGGGATTTTCCTAATGATCCAGTGAGGCTACCAATAGAATTTTACAGGAGGTACTCTTCATTGCAACATTTCACGAGCAGATGAAGCACGTGTCAGTTTCAAGGAGTGTCTCTCTCTGAGTATTGCTGACTGCAAGGAGTCTCTAAAACACAGAGGTCAGAGTACATCATTAGGAACTTCCAGGAAAGTCAGCCCAGAAAGGCTCCTCCTCTCCTGTGTGACAGCAGAGCATCGTCTGCCTGACCTTCCATTCATGCAGTGGAACCGAGTCCCATTTTTGCCAGCTGGGGTGATGGCAGAGAGCCCATGATAACAAATTTTGACAGTGTCGGGCTTCCACACCAGTTGCACATGCATCAGATTTGCTGGTCCCACAGTGCAGTGAAGTGAGCTGTTAGAACAAAGAAATGAAAAAGGCTCAAAGTGTTCCTGAATATTCTGACAGGTTCTGCACAGCTCGGGAAGATGATGGATATTTTTTATTTTGAACTATCAAATAATTGGGCATTGTAAACACAGTCAAGCAAATTTGCTGACAAATAGAAGATAAAAGCATCTTCTATTAGGGATTAAATGCTTTTCTCTTCAGAAGGAAGTTATGGTCCTAGTAAATGATTGCTCCCTGCCTTCTCTTGGGCTTGTAGATGGCAGGAGGTGTTTATGGTGCCAGAAAAGAAACAGACTCTGAAGAGGCCAAATGACCAAGCACTCTCAAGAGCCTCAGGACCTGATTCCAATCCTGCATGCCTCATTGGGAAATGGGAGACTCATTCCCATGGATACCCTAAAATGGCTAAAAGCCCTAACAGCAACATCCAAGGCAGGCAATACTTCAGCACAGGGCAACACTGCTTTCTATAAAAGGACCAGAGCAGTAATTGTGATGAACTTGTGATCCATGGTTCTTAAAATTTTTATGACCTATTGGAAAATTTCCTCCAGATTTTATGGGGTAACATTTATGCTGGAAAATGTCTCTGGGTGTTCCTAATCTCTGTATATAATTACTGTGACTGATAGGGCAGTGAGGAGCAGCAGTGCATGCTCAGTCTCACACATGTCCTACTGAAATCCCTTCTGGAGAGAAGATTTGTATCCAAACCACAATAATTTATAGGCCATAAAGATCTGAGTCTTCAGTGTAAAGTCAGCCCTGTGGAAGGGTGGGAGCCCCAGCATGAGACACTTCTGCACTGACAGAAAAAGCAGAGCAGAGAGAGGAGCAGACTCTTCCTCCTTCAACATCCTCCTTTCCCCATATTTAGAGATGTGTAAAATCTGGAAGGGACATTGCAGTAGGTATGGCATTCATTTTTGAAACTGTGGTATAACCAATGACCACTAACTATTTAAAACATCCTTCTTCTGAGCTAAAGAAGACAGCCAAATAGAAGGAAGAGAATATACCTAATAACATTTTTTTCTTGTGCTGATTCAAACTAAAAAGGGGAAAGGGCAAGGTTGAGCATCTTGAGAATATGAAGATGGAAAAAAAAAATCACAGAAACTGAAGAAATGAACGGTACCAGTCTACCAATCCAAAGAACAAACTAAAATTATAAACTGCATAAAACTGTTAAATTAATTTTCTTATTATAACATTTATGAATAATTGCAGCTTGATTGAGTTGTGTTGCATCAGAAAATATTTAATCAGGTTACACAGAAGACACTTTGAGAAAGTTACCACTCTGAAAATTCCCCATGTTAGGTGAGAATTAGTATCTAGCACAAAGCATATGAGAGAAAAACCAGATTTGATTCTTATGTAAGTATTACGTTGGTTGCACGTAACTGTCAAAGAGATGGTGTTTTAAGCACAGGTAACAACTGTGTCTTGGATAGCTTGCTCTAAAATCCCAAGACATAATTGATTTAAATATTTTTTTGCCACTGTACAGGTATGTAAATTCAGTGTGGGTGTGTTTGAGAAATGGAGGGTATCAATCTTGCCTACTTAAAATGACGTAATAAAGGAACCATACTCAGTTCCATTTTAGTCTGATCTACTTTGCTAGATTTACCCATCCTGTTATAAAAAAAATTGTTTCCTCCTCCTAACAGTGTAAATTCAGTCTAAAATTGCATCAAGTAACCAGACTTTGTACAAAGAAATAAGTGAAGTTGGGAGCAGTGTTAATAAGCAATATCCTTTGCTCTACTTTGCAGAGCTTATGGTCCATCTGGTGAACAAACACTGCAGGCTTATCTGAACTCCAACTCACAGCCTGACTCATAGGCAGTTTCGAAGCACATTCTGTAATCAGTGGAAGACTAAGTTATTTCAGAGTGAAGATTAGCATTTTTCTTAAAAACAGTCAAGTCCTTATCACATCAAAAGTTAGATTTTGGATATGTGTTATGAGATGAAGGGGAAAAAGGTGAATGAACTGATTTGTCTGAGAATGGGTATCTCTAATATACTCAGTCTTAAAATCTGTGAAGGATACAGAGCAAATAGCAAATTTGTATATATTCCTATGATATCAAAAAATCACAGCACCTAAGGAATGTGCCTTGGGAATAGAAAAGGTTGGAAATAGGCCACGAGCAGTTTTTAATGAGTAATCTGCAGTAGCAATGTCTTCTGAAGACTGGGCTTCTTCCCTGAAGTGACAAAGTCTTTCTTTTTTTGCCCTTCCATCACTACCAGAACAACACAAGACTCCTAATCCCTTTAATACATATGGAGGACATAGACCTTTTCCCTGGGAATCTGGAATTTTTACTAGTCTAAGCATCAATCTGAAAGAGCAAAACAGGGTAAGAAATTACTCCTTGAGAATTTCTCCATCTCAGACTACAGGTCACTGTCTGCTCTGCAAAAAGTTCCCAAAACATTGCTTTTTGGTTTTAAACACTGATATATTGCTAGACTTCAAAGGTAGAGGAAGTGTATTTTGATTTTTTGGAACCACAGAACCACCATTAACTTCATGTTCTGCAATTCAGTCATTTTATGGTTTACATGTGTGTTCTTCACAACTCAGGTATACTGTACCATGGAAATGCACTCTTCCACATTTTCTTTTCATAAACAAAACCACAATTCTTTTCCAGGTACTCATTTTACATCAGGCTACTCTCCATGTGGGTTATAAAATTCAGGATCTCTCTTATGTGCATGGGCAGAACTAAAGTCGAAAGAGACATGACCACTGCATGCAAGAAATGCCTTCCATTTCTCATAAAACTTGAGATTCCAGCAAACGTTTCTTAATCCACCCTGGTTTCATTTTGCCACATCACAAATGCAAACTCTGGTGTCAATGAATATGCAAAAGCCAAATTTTTGACACCAACATTTCATTGTGGTAACACTGTCTATAAATTGTCAACTGAACATACTGTGTCAGGATTCAAAGACAATAAAAGCAGGTTCTGTGTTCAGTTTGTATGAAATACCTGATATGGATGTGGAATGTATATGACACCTTCCTTGTGAGAGATAAATTTAGTTCAGGACCTTGGCATATGCTCCACTTCAGGAAGTGAAGGAAAATGGAAGAATTATTCCCTTCACCATCACATTAAAGCATCCCTTTTTCTTTATAATCTCTTGCATAAAAACCTTTTACTATCAATGAGGGGAAATGGCTGTATATGTACTTTATATACAGCCCTCCATGTTGTGACAGCTTTTTCTTTCAGCCAGTGGTCGAGGATAATCACGGAAGGATTACCCATCTGTTCTTGCCATGTGGCATTCTGTCTCAGTAAGAAGATACTGCAGTTCACAGCTTCCTGCAGTTCTTTTTTTTTCTGATGTTCTCTCATTAACTAAAAATTGTTTTATTATCCATCTGAGTTGCTAAGTTGGAAAGTCTGGAAGACTCATGAAGGTGACCTACTTTGGATTATCTAAATTAGAACTAACTGCTGCCTGTTGCAAATATCATTTTGTTTGGATGCAGAAGGTTTCTTTGGCTTGGGCTTTCATTCTAAGTTTTGCTTTTTTTTCTGTCTGTCCACTTGATGGAAAAAGACAAGTGGTACACAAAGAAGGGTAATCAAAGGAGAAGAGATGGAAAAAGAAAACTTTTTCACTAAGAGTGACTTTGTAGGTTGGGTTTACATGATTAGCCAGTTTTTCAGAACACCCAACAGTTTTCAGACTACA